GGTTATTCTCCCAGTCCCCCCATCCTTTTTTTTTTTCCCTCTTTTTAAAAATGAGCAAATCATCTGGTCAAAGAAACCCATGCCCTGACTCTTACTGAAACGAGAATTTCCTTTTTCGTTGTGAAGAATCTGTACAAATCCGACTTCACCAATTGGATGAAAGGGATCGGCTGGGTGCCCATAGAGTCACTGGAGGTGGAGAAGGCAAAGAAAGCAGGAGAGATTCTTAGCGAGAAGAAGTACCGCCAGCACCCTGAGAAGCTGAAGTTCACGTACGCGATGGACACAGTGGAACAAGCACTAAACAAAAGTAACAAACTGATTATGAACAAGGTAAGAACTCACCTGCTGGCCTCAGCCTCAGAACCCCTGCAGTGCTCAGACCATTGAACCAGGCAGTGCCACTTTGACCTTCATCAGCGTTTTCATCTTTCTGATGGTCGTGGTCGTGGCGGTGGTGGTAGGAGGGGGCAGTCTATAACCGTCATCGTGTCTAGAGAGCTCCCACTTATACCAACACCAGGCTGTCTGTCATGCGAGTGTGTGCTAGAACCACGAAACTCTATGTAATGTGTGGTTGGAGCAAGATAGCCTTTGTTGTTTCGGTGGAAGAGGGCTCCCTTGTTTGATGATTTTTAAAATCATGTGTCCAGTCTCATCAGCCCATCTTCTTGCTATTTCATTCATTTTCCAATATCAGATTTAACCTCTCCTACCATGGAGATGTGAGTCTCTTCCTCTTGAAAGCACATTGCAGACTTTTCCTGCTGTACAGTCATGTGCCTGCCTTTCTTGTTGTAGAGGCTCTACACTGAAAAATGGAACAAAGACAAGACCACCATTCACGTCATGCCTGATACTCCAGGCATTTTACTCTCCAGAGTCAACCAAATCACCATGAGTGATGTGAGTAGATTAACAACAACAACAAAGATGCAGGGAGCAGGGGAGGGGGGTGGCAGGGGGAGGGAAGAGCTTGAAGGGAACTAATAGTTGTGGAATATCTGTCTTCCACATGACAACCACTTTAAAATTAGGGTCCCCATTCTAACACGACTAACAAGATGCTGGTATTTTTCTACTTCGTCATTTAGAAACTGTACAAAGCTGGCTGGGAAGAAGAAAAGAAGAAAGGATATGACCTGAGGCCTGATGCCATCCCAATAAAGGCTGCAAGAGCCTCCAGAGACATTGCCAGTGATGTAAGTGCTTTCACTGATGCTTATTTAGTCTAAACGAGAAAAAGAGCAAATGAACCAAGCTCATGGGTATGCAGGAGCTGTAATCAGCTCTGTCCAGTGTTGGTGGGACCACTGTCCCGTGTAACACACAAGACACCTCCCTTCACCCAGTCCAAGGATGCTCTAATTATTTGTTCGTCATTCAATGTAAAAAGTGACAGGGTCTTGTTAAAATAAGTTACTTTTAGAGTGCTTAAGTTGTTTATGGGCAATTCCTAGCAAACATAGGGATGTGATCTATGCACTTTACCCAGAAGATCCATTACCAAGCTCTTTCCTGAATGTAGAGGTGCACCATGAAAAGTGGTGCCTGCAGCCTTTTCCGCTGGTTACACAGCAGAGTGGGAAAAGCTGCTTTCTAAATAACCCTAAAACAACTTATTTACACATCACTTTGATTAACTCTAGATGATTTTTTCCCCTCATGGACTCAAGTCTGTCAAGAAATTTGAAGTAAAAATATTTTGCTCCTGGGGCTTCCCTGGTGGTGCAGTGGTTGAGGGTCCACCTGCCGATGCAGGGGACACAGGTTCGTGCCCCGGTCCGGGAGGATCCCACATGCCGCGGAGCGGCTGGGCCTGTGAGCCATGGCCACTGAGCCTGCGCGTCCGGAGCCTGTGCTCCGCAACGGGAGAGGCCACAACAGTGAGAGGCCCGCGTACCGCAAAAAAAAAAAATTTGCTCCCAGTCCCCCCACCCCGCCAACAACTCCTCCCTTTGTAAGTTTAGAGTAGAAAACCCTACACCTATGACAAAGCTAATGGCACGTAGTGAATTATATTTTGTTCTCTTTCTTTCACTATCTTCATCACCATGTTTCTTTTCCATCCACAGTACAAGTACAGGCAAGCCTATGAACAAGCCAAAGGGAAACACATTGGGTTCCGGAGCCTAGAGGACGACCCCAAGTTGGTGCACTTCATGCAAGTGGCCAAGATGCAGTCAGACCGGGAGTACAAGAAGGCGTACGAGAAATCCAAGACATCCTTCCACACCCCGGCGGACATGCTCAGCATGGTGGCAGCCAAGAAGTCTCAGGAAGTGGCCACCAACACCAACTACAGGAACGTGATCCATGCCTACAACATGCTTCCTGATGCCATGAGCTTTGAATTGGCCAAAAACATGATGCAGATTCAAAGTGATGTACGTGACAGCCACAACATTTGCAGAGCATTTACTTTGGATAATAAGCAAATCATGAAAGACCATAAGTAATGACATTTTGAAAATCCTGAAAGAAATTCATATGTAATTTCCCAATGAGGTGTTTCAGTTTTTACCTTAGATTGAATTTATTTTTTTTAACACAAAAGGGATGAACCCTATCTATTACTGTTGTGAGCATTATTGGATGCTAGATCAGCAATAACACATGAAATTTGGTTTCAGAAAGAATGTGTTGAAGGAAATATATCTAGCAGAGAGAGTCAGAAGTATAAAAAGTTCCTGATTAAGGAGTAAGAGGTAAAACAGAAAGTCAGGTAACTTGAGAGCTACTGTCCCTCACTCCCAGTCAGCTTTCATTTCCAGCTTTATAATTGCCTATCTTACTTACTGATGAAATAGTAAGGAGGTGATGGCTGAAACAGCTATTAGAATAAATGTGAGGAAGGCACAGAGAGTGTAAAGCCAAGAATTGAGCTATAGGGGCCCTTTGGTGGCTGGGGAAAGTGAATATAAATTATGAACGAAATGCAGGCCATGCCGAGCCTATATTTCTCTTTGGAAATGTAAGAGATGAGCTATAGCTGGAGAGGTACATAAGTACCCAAATGAAAGCAACCGTGGTACAGTTATAGGGGGAAATGTCTGATTTGAGGGGAAAAAAATGAAATTTGCACAAAGTATCAGTGAGGTTTCTGGCATACCCGAAGGAGTTGTAACCATGGTGGCTGCTCAAAGGCTTATAGCAAAAGAGAGAAATGGAGTCCTCTAAGTCTCCAATTAACCAAGGGGACTTGGGGATTTTTGTAAGAAAGTTAGTCCAGCATGGTCACCTTTCTTGAGATAGTAGTCACATGGTAGATTGATCTATTTGGTATTTCTTAGCACTTTTTCTTTATGAAGGCATTGAGAGAAGCAAATAAATCACAAAGATATTGCTGCTTGTTTTAAATTCCTCATGCAAGGAGATGTAAAAAAAAATAAAGTTTAGGGTTAAAAGTAATTAAAGTTGAGTATACTATCGGTTGAAAACTGAAGTGGAACTTATGGAATATTAAATACCCACTCATGGTTCTTGGAAGATTTGGTTTCTTCTCATCCTCGAACTTTTCCTCTTTTGCAGAATCAGTACAAAGCTGACTATGCTGACTTCATGAAGGGCATTGGATGGCTCCCTCTGGGCTCCCTGGAGGCTGAGAAAAACAAGAAAGCCATGGAGATTATCAGTGAAAAGAAGTACCGCCAACACCCAGACACTTTGAAGTATTCCACCTTGATGGACTCAGTGAACATGGTTTTGGCCAAGAATAATGCAAAAATTATGAACGAAGTAAGTCTTTCAATATTGTAGTGTTTCATAAGCATCAGGAATAAGCGAGGCATATCCTACATTTAATCTACAGGTTTTGATAACAGTTTTACAGCATCATAATTAATGTTTCCTCTACCTTGAAAAAGGGTCTTGTAGTTAAAAAAACAAACAAAAAAGATAGAAATTAGTCCTAATAAGTGCCCTCTCCAAATGCTCAATGAACCACCCTACCTAATAGACATAACAAAATAAGTATGGACTCTTTTCTTTCGATGCAGATCTTGAAAATGAGTACCATTTGTCTAAGGCGAAGTTAGTAGAAGCTCATTATGCTGAATCAGTAGACTGTAGGGCTGATGATAACAGCTGGGTGTTGCAGCCCACCCCTGCTTCCTTGCTCTTTTGATGGAATAAAAGAAAACTAGATTACATGGCTGTAGCAGCATTCTGAGCCAGGGCCTTCTCTGGGCAATGCTGAGAGCGATAGCTCTCCACTAGTACTTCCCTGGATCATTAATGACTCCAGCCTTCAGAAAAGCCTTACTGTAGTTTGACATAATTAGCCATAATTTGATTTCAGGACCAACAAGTACATCACCCTTGGACATCTGTTTTTAAGTTGCAAAAATAAAATAATTGCAACAGCATTGGTTATATTTTGTGGATCATAATTAGAAATGCCATTGATTAACCAAAAAGGGGAAAAATAATTTGGATCTGAACACGAAACGGTTGCAGGAAATGATGTAGAAAGATAGAGCTGTATTACGCTAAGTCTCTGAGTAAATCCTCTGGAGTCTTCTGAGAAAGAATTTTGTCAAGAAGACCAATCTCTTTGAAAAGGACTTGTTGACACAAGGCAAAAGTCTCAGTGCCCCTTTTAAGACTTAGAATTTAAACTACCACAAACATACATTTACTTTTTAAATATTAAATTAAGCCTTTCATTTTTTCAATGTTAAAGATTACCATTTTAAAATAATCATGCCAAGATGAGAATCACAGAAATAGCAAATGCTAACACTGAGAGATATCTTGGTGGTCATCAGGTTGAACCCCTTCCTTGCAGAGTTGAGGAAAGGGTGGCCCAGAGAGGCAAGGCACCTCCCTTAAAGACACACAGCAGGTCAATGACCTGGTCTGGACTAGAACCAGTACTCTAATGACTAACTATTGCTCTTTCCATTAGAATTGTGCTTCCAATACTATAATCACTAGCCACATGTGATGACAAATCTCAATTAATTAAAATTAATGTTAATAATTTGTTCTTCATTCACATTAGCTACATTTCAAGTGACTGATAGCCCCGTGTGGCTAGGGACTGTCGTGTTGATGACACAGATGACACAGATCACTTGGTCAGAAGTCAGAAAATTAGTATTTGTAAATAAAATTTTATAGTAACACAGCCACAGCTATTCATCTGCATATCATCTGTGGCCGCTTTTGTACTGCAACAGCAGAGCTGAGTAGTTCATAACAGAGACTCTGTGGCCCACAAAGCCTAACATTATTTACTATCTGGCTCCTTACGTTTACTGACCCCTGATCTAGAAAAAGACTCTAGCAGAAGTTTTTTTTCTTTTTTTAATCAAACCTGGCTAAAACAAAGAGATAGCATTTTTCACCTATAAGATTTGCAAAGATTAAAAAAGTTGTGTGATATACAGTATTGGAAAGGGAGTTAATGTAAACTTCTAATCAACAGTTTTTGTTAATATTTGTTAAAATATTAACAGTTGCCCAATACCCTTCAGAAATCCTCATGTATGTGCAAAGATGTACACACATACATACACACGGTAATATTTTTTGCAGGTTAGGGTCCCCAAAAAGAGATGCTGAGATGAAATTTGGAGTACAGGGCATTTTTCAGGGATCAGTACCAGTGAGGGGACTTGAGGATATGGGGAGGGGGAAGGGTAAGCTGTGACAAAGTGAGAGAGTGGCATGGACATATATACACTACCAAACGTAAGGTAGATAGCTGGTGGGAAGCAGCCACATAGCACAGGGAGATCAGCTCGGTGCTTTGTGACCACCTAGAGGGGTGGGATAGGGAGGGTGGGAGGGAGGGAGATGCAAGAGGGAAGAGATATGGGAACATATGTATATGTATAACTGATTCACTTGGTTATAAAGCAGAAACTAACACACCATTGTAAAGCAATTATACTCCAATAAAGATGTAAAAAAAAAGGGGGGGTGGGCAAGAGGGGTCCGACTGTGATGCCAGCCCTACAAAGCCTATGCCAGTGCCCCAGAGGTCTCTTGAGTATATACGGCCTGCCGGACGTGTCCTGAACTGGGTGGAATGGCCAGGCCTTTGTACCACCACTCTGATGAGTAACTGGATGGCCACCAGGGAAGAGTGTGCTCTTGAGTGAGGCAACAAAACCTTGAAGCAAGTGACAGTTTGGAGGCTGTCTGCCAATAGTTGGTGCAACCAGTCCTTCCTTGAGTGTGTGTCTGGGTTGTCCATCTCCAGGCCCACCACAAAGATCATGGCATCATTGCTTATAGTAGAAAAAAACTGGAAACAACAAATTAAATGTCTATCAAAGGAGAACTGGTTAAATCAATTGGGTTACACCTCCTCATGGAATACTGCACTGCTGTTTAAATGAATGAAGTAAATTATTAAGAGGGCTAAAAGATGTCTAACCTATAATATTAAGTAAAAAAGCAAGATGTAAAACATGTTTTATATAACCTCATTTATATTAAAAAAAGGACTATATGTGGACTTTAATATGCATAGAAAATTTTAGGATGGAGATGCTATATCCAGGCTGTAAAATAGGAAGGCAGGACATTTTACTTTCCATCTGACATCCTCTCCACTGTCTTGTTTGAATGAGCACCTTTTTCCTTTAAATTTTTTAAAAATAAGAGCCAGCTAATAAAAATACATAAAATAATGATATTTGTGTACAATAATATATATGTACTGACTTCCTTTAAAACTTTTAAATACTAACTTCCATTGCTTTTTTCTTCTCTTTTTTTTCTTTCTTTTTTCCTTCCTTTCTTCCTTCCTTTCTTTTCTTTTTTTTTCTTTCCAGCACCTCTACAAACAAGCATGGGAGGCTGACAAGACCAAAGTCCACATCATGTCTGATATCCCCCAGATTATTCTGGCAAAGGCAAATACAATTAATATGAGTGATGTGAGTATAATTCCTCCAGTTGTCATCTTTCTTTCCTACCTATTTGAACCAATAAAAACAAATTAATTAATGGCTCGATTTTGAGAATGACTGTTTTGACAATAAGTGGGAACCCACAAATGAGAATCTTTCTCTTTCTAATCTTGCTTTGCTAAGAGTAGGAGTAGGCCTGTTTATGGGACAGCAGTTAGGAATTCGAAGGGCAGTTGGATTTTGTTCTAGTAGTAGGTACTTCTTAACAAACTAAGAGAAGTAAAGAGAGTGGTTTAGAGCCCAGGATAAGAGATAAGGAAAGAGTGAATCCCAGGACTTTCTTAAAGAGTCCCTCTACCAAGTTTTTGAAATGATTCTAAAGAGGCAGTCTTGGGAAAAGTTAAATGGAAAGGGAAGAATAACATTTTGAAAAATTTAGGTCAAGCCCCGTAAGGAATTTAGGTCAAGCCCCGTAAGGAATGTAATGTTCTAACTTACTGTTAGAAACTTCATAGGTGTTTTATTTTACTTCCTTTCTCATCCTAACCAGTTGCCAGGAAACCCTCAAATCCTACCAGTTTTTTTTTAAAAAGATTTATTATTTATTTATTTATAATAAATGCCGCATCGTGTCTTAGTTGAGGCACGCGGGATCTTCATTGAGGCGTGCGAGATCTTCGTTGCAGCACACGGGCTTCTCTCTGGTTGTGGCATGTGGTTTTCTCTCCTCTAGTTGTGGCTTGCAGGCTCCAGGGTGGGTGGACTCTGTAGCCGTGGCACATGGGTTCCAGAGCGCATGGGCTCTGTATTTTTGCCGCCTGCAGGCTCTCTAGTTGAGCTGTGCGGGCTCAGTAGTTGTGGCATGTGGGCTTAGTTGCCCCACGGCATGTGGGATCTTAGTTCCCTGACCAGGGATCAAACCCGGGTCCCCTGCATTGGAAGGTGGATTCTTTACCACTGGACCCCAGGGAAGTCCCTCTACCAGTTTTTTTCTTTTGTTTGTTTGAATTACACAGGGATTTGGAATTGTTGACTTCTTTTTGAATTGTAGTATCCACACAGTTATATACATAAAAGTGTCAATTGCAAAACAGTGAAGTCTTTTGATGTAAGAACATGGCTATTTTGTATTCTTCTCTTGACTCTTATTTGACAAAATGCATCAGTAAGAATCTACTGGGCTTTCACATTTTTAAAAAGCATATTTACAACCTAATAGAGACGAGTAGCTCTTACTTTTTCTGGTGGTTTTTTGAAGATGTTTTAATTTGTAATAGATTTTGTTTTCAAACACAGTTATGTTACTTGTGAGAGCATTTAGCCCTTGAACTACCAATGAAGCATTCTGCTGAAAGATTAAAAAAAAAAAAAAAGATGCTGCAGTGCCAGTTTACTCTTTTAAAATAAACCCAGACTTTCCTATTTAGAAGAAAACTATTTCCTTTGCCTCTCTTTCCAGAAACTCTACAAACTTTCTTTGGAAGAGTCCAAAAAGAAAGGGTATGATCTCAGAACTGATGCCATTCCTATCAAAGCTGCCAAAGCCTCAAGAGATATTGCAAGCGATGTAAGTCTGAAGGAAAGCGGTCACCTGACTGGGGGTTTCTAATCTACCAAAATAATAAGGGCTGAGTTTTAGAAACACTGAGTGAATAAAATATGAGAAGGAAAGCATGCCTGCTAACAATAGTCCCATTCTGTTCTGTGAATGCTTCTTAGCCTTGCTCTTGTGTTTTCTCTGGTATTCTGAAAAAACAGAATGCCAGCTACATTATGACCACCTTTGTACTCCATCACCAAGGCTATGGCCAGTAGAAATCCAAAGCCCTTCACTAAGTTTTCTTAAGACTTGTGTTGTTCTTGCCTCCTGCCTCTTAGGCTCTGTCTTCCCAACAGGATGTCCCAGGAAGTGGTGTGCTGGGGGTCCTGATCTTTTGTGCTCATGATAGCTGATTATTAAATAATCATGAATTTTGCAAACCAGTTGTTAAACTATTGGTAGCTTGATATCAACCATAATGGGAGAACTTACACCACAGAAATTGGCAAACACTACAAATCAGGGCTTTTTTCCCCCAGAGAGCTGGTGTGCCAACACACCGTTGCCATAACACATCACCTTTATGAAACTCAGTTCTTTCGTTTGGTTGTTTCCACAAGAAATCCACTCATAGTGAACATTTAATGATTTGGGGGTAATGAGAGGAGCACATTCAGGGCACTCGTTCCTAGCCATCCCCCAGGTCTACTTTCTCTTTCCTCTTCCATCTCTGCTCTTCATTTTTCCTACCTACCCATCCCTATCCCACTCCTACATTGTCCTGAGGACTCCAGACTTCTCCCTCTATTGTGCTGGAATCATTTGGCTCTCCCAGCTCCTAACCCCTAAGTTGTACACCCGAACCCACAAGAGATAGGCAGAATAAGAAGTTTTCCATGCATCAGGATCTCCCCATGAAAGAGGGAACTTGGTGATAAATAGTAAAATTTCTTCCCCATTATACCAGAGTAGAGAGTCTTAAAAGAAAAAAACCTCCACAAATATAAAGCTGCCCTAAAATTATACTGTGTATCTCATAACTAAACCTCTTCTCATCAGTGAAAGACTGGCTGGATGATTTTTCAGGGCAACATTAAACTGCTTAGAACATTCTGCTTTTTTTTCTCTCATTTGCTGTACACTTATTACCTACTAAATGTTCTTTAACAACAGGGTATGTGTGAAAATCTGGGTGGTGTATCATCACAAGATCCATGTTCTAAGCTTTAATGACTTTAGCAAGTCACTCACCCCTCTGGCCTCAGCTTACTGTTCTCTAAAATGGGGGCAGTAACAATAACCTTGCTGTCTACCTCACAAGGTATAGTTGTGATGATCAACTTACACAAATAAATGTGAAAAAAGTATTTTGTGAACTGTAGAATTCTGTAAAAGTATCCCTTTTTATGAAATACAGAATATTGACACTAGAATGATTTCCGGTCAAGGGAATTGCTCTGAATAAATATTCAAATGTTTCTTCACAGTATAAATACAAACACAATTATGAAAAGGAGAGGGGGAAGATGGTTGGTTTCCGCAGTCTTGAGGATGATCCCAAATTAGTCCATTCCATGCAAGTGGCCAAGATGCAATCTGATCGGGAGTACAAGAAAAACTATGAGAAAACCAAGACCAGCTACCACACCCCTGCCGACATGCTCAGTGTCACGGCCGCCAAGGATGCCCAAGCCAACATCACCAACACCAACTACAAGCACCTGATTCACAAGTACATCCTCCTTCCAGACTCCATGAACATCCAGCTGTCCAAGAATATGAATCACATACAGAGTGATGTAAGGCTCTCTTCTTTCTGAGTGATGGTTGCATTCTTAGCATGAGAAGGGAGATTACAGGCTCCTGTGCCACAGTTTTGTATCTAAATTGATAAGGTAAAGTAGAATGTGCTTCTTCTCTTTATAGAATGAATATAAGCAGGACTACAATGAATGGTACAAAGGGCTTGGCTGGAGTCCAGCTGGTTCCCTAGAAGTGGAGAAGGCCAAGAAAGCAACTGCAAATGCCAGTGATCAGAAATACCGCCAGCACCCTAGCAACTTCCAGTTTAAGAAGCTGAATGACTCCATGGACATGGTTCTTGCCAAGCAGAATGCGCATACCATGAACAAGGTAGACAGAACAGCTATCCTTCCTTGTAGCTCCCAGCCAGACAGGGCTAGCAGTCTCTGGTTCTTGTTTGGGAAATTTAATTTGGGCCCACCACTTCTATGCAGTGGCAAACAGTACCAGAGCACTCCCCTACACCATATTCTTCTGCTCCCAACCTCTTATTTTTATTTTACTTGCCCTTCTAATTAAGTTAGAAATTATTTGTTCTTTTAAATTATTTTTTTAACTCTGAGTTTATTTTTGGTGTCTTTTCTGAATCATATACTACTTTAGTTACTAAGTTAACTTAATCTAATCCAAATTGAGTGCATTCAAATATTGTTATATTTTTTCTTTCTTGTTTGTCCTAAAAAGTTATTAAATTTTAAATGTATGCTTTTTAACTTTCTAGTACCTATACACCGTTGATTGGAACAAAGATAAAACCAAGATTCATGTGATGCCAGATACACCAGATATTTTACAAGCCAAGCAAAATCAAATACACTACAGTCAGGTAAAGCTACATAAAAATTTTGCTTGAAACTAATTGAACGTTTTAAATGATGGCATGGTATATCATTGATGTAAATGCTGAAGCAGTGGAAATGAATGACTCAAACTGGTTAGCGCAGGGATGTTGCAGTTTATGGTGGTTTAAAGCAGGTGCTTCGGCTGTGATTATATATCCCATGGAGTAGGCATTGTGCCTGTTTTGTTTATTTCAGTACTCATTGTGAGTGGCGCAGTATAGAAAATTGATAAATAGCTGTTGGAAGAAAAAATTGCACCAAACAGACCTGGTATGAGCTTTGACTATGCCATTTATGAATTGTGTAATATTGGGTCTAAACCTTAATTTCCTCATCCCTAAAACTGGGACCATAAAAGTGCCTATGACATTGAATTGCTGTGAGGACCAAATGAGAAATTCCATGAAGGGCTCTCATCACAGTGCCTGGCACATAGTAAGCACTGGATGGCCTTCAGCTATTTTTATTATTGTCCAGTTTTAACATACGTGCATCCATTCAATAAATTTGATTCAAAAAGATTAACTTATTTATTGCACTTTACAAAAGGCATTTCATTATCCATTACTTTTATCATTTAGATAATTAAAATATGTTACCTGACCCTTTTTTTTAAATCAGTTTAACATCTGTAATCAAAATAGTGAGCCTAGACTGTACTTAACTGCAAAGGGAATCTACCTAATATACTTGATATGACCATATTGTGTCTGAACAGAAAAGGACATGATCAACTGCACTACCAAGGGGGTGGGGAGTGAGTCTCAGAGGCAAAGAACAAAAAAAGAAGCCAGATCATGTGATGCTAAGTCATTGCTCTATTAAACAGCTTGCTTTGTTTTTATCCATATCTTCAGAGATAAGATAGATGATGTTAAAATCTGCTGTCTACTCTTTAGGTACACTTTTGTTCAATAATCTGTTTGGGTTTTAATATACACTGAATAATGCTAAATAATTTCTTTAATTTTCAGAAACTCTATAAACTTGGATGGGAAGAAGCTTTGAAGAAAGGCTATGATCTCCCAGTTGATGCAATTTCTGTACAGTTGGCCAAAGCTTCAAGAGACATTGCTAGTGATGTAAGTATTGTTTGACTTCTATGAGGATATACTGTTATCTGAATCCAGTACCTTAATGCTGGTAATGATTTTCACAGATAGGCCCTACCTTTCAAAATGTAATGCCGTCCCCTTCATCTTCTCCTACCCTCTTCACTTACCCCAAATTCACTCTTGTTTCTCACTGATCGAATATCAAAAAAGCGGCTGCCTGGACAGAGACTGAGCCAGAGGACCTACAAGGTGCATTACACTAAGACATGATGTTTCTAGACATTACAAAAGTACCAGAGATTTCCGTTTTCCCCTGCTTGCCTGCAAATAATTTTTCTGGCTTCTATTTGTCTATTTTAGACAAATTCAAAGTGCCAGATAATAAATAACCTCAACAACCTAATGTTAATAGATTTTTCTTTGCACATATTTAAAATTAGCATCCAATTCTTTCTATTTAGTCCATCCTTGCATTTACGTAATTATAATAAATTGGCTCAGGGTATAGAAAATACAGAAAGTGGCAAGAATTTAGGTTTAAGATCCAGAGGACTTAACTTTCCCCGGATATCTGGTCGAAAGTTCATAAAACAAGGATGTTCGCTCTCCAAGGCAACTTCTTCTTTTTTTTTTTTTTTTTTGGCCGCACACAGTTTGTGGGATCTTAGTTCCCCGACCAGGCATTGAACCCCAGGCCATGGCAGTGACTGCGCCGAGTCCTAACCACTGGACAGCCAGGGAATTCCCAAGGCAACTTCTATTTATGATTGGAAAGGGTAGTAAATTTGATAAATAAACTGGATATAGTTCCTATTGATCAATTAAATTTTTATAAGTATTCAACTTAGATATTCTGCAAACACTAAAACATATAATTTTGTTAACCCCAAAAATTAAACACCAAAAATTCAGAGAACTTTGGTTATAGAGAATAAATTACCAGAATTTCATAGGGAAGCACAACCTCTTAATCAAAATCTTTGAAACAAAGCAAAACAAGGATTTGGTTTGGAGAGAAAGCAGAATCTGACATAAAGAAGATGTGGTACATATATGCAATAGAATATTAGTCATAAAAAAGAATGAAATAATGCCATTTGCAGCAAAGACCTAGAGATTGTTATACTGAGTGAAATTAAGTCAAACAGAGAAGGAGAAATATCGTATGATATCACTTATATGCGGAATCTAAAAAGAAATGATACAAATGAACGTATTTACAAAACAGAAACGGACTCACAGACTTAGAGAATGAACTTATGGTTACTGGGGGGAAGGGGGGAGGGAAGGGATAGTTAGGGAGTTTGGGATTGACATGTACAGACTGCTATTTTTAAAATGGATAACTAACAAGGACCTACTGTTTAGCACAGGGAAGTCTGCTCAATGTTATGTGGTAGCCTGGATGGGAGGGCAGTCTGGGCAAGAATGGATACATGTTTATGTATGGATGAGTTGCTTTGCTGTGCACCTGAAACTATCACAACATTCTTAATGAGCTATACTCCAATATTAAAAAGGTTAAAAAAAATAAAGACAGAATCTGACAATAAATTCTAAGAATATAAGGGAAGTTTCTCTCTAATTCAGTTAATCTGTGGCACTCCAGAAGTGCTGAGAATTAATTAGATGATGTGTTATTACCCACCCTCGGGCTTGCAGGTCAATACTTCATTAAAATGAATAGATGTGGTAATGAACCTAAAGCAGTAGTGATGCTTGAACGGTCCCCGGAAAGTAAACTCATTTTCATTTAATGTTAGTGCTCCCCATGAGGTAAAGATAGTTTAGGAAATTAAATTGTGTCAATACTTTCGTAACAACACAATATTTGAAAGTACCTAATTTCTTTTCACGTAAATCTGTTAGAAACTTTCGAAATCGTACCCTAAAATTAAATTACCTATAAATGAATTTCCCACCATTGTAGAGATTGTATCTCCTCTCAGTTTCAAATGGTTCTTGTATCTATACAGTCTAAGGAGAGTAGAGCTATTTTTTATGAGTACTCAATTTAATAAATTAGAATCATAGAATTTAGAGTTAGAAGATAACTTAAAGGTTATTTAATCTAATCTCCCACTCAGCATCCTACCTTCTCTCCATTCCAACTGGTCTCTGGATACTTACAAATATAAGAATTTTTGTATCCTTCAGGGCAGGTTGTTTCCTTGCTGGATCATCTCTAATTGACGTTAGCTATTTCCTTATTTCGAACATGTTACTGATCAGCCCTAGGTCTGTGTTTTAGAACACCACAAAAGTAGCATATTTCCTCTTTCACCTGATACCCCTTCAAACATTTGAAGTTTATTACTTATTCTCCTTTGGTTTTAGCTTTATAGGTCCTTCAATCCCCTGATCATTCCACTTGTGATTTATTCTATTTTTTCAAAACCCCTCTCAAAATAGAGTGCCTCAAAACTCGGTGTTGTTTTCCTGTTTCAGGTCAGGCCAAGCAAGTGAGTTTCTGATTTGCCTTTATCTGTACCCCTACAGAATCTCTTACAAAAATCTACTTTTTTAAAAGCAACTTTGTCAGATTGCCCACATTGAGCTTATAACCCACGTAAACTCTTGAGTATTTTTAGTAGACATAACCATGAAGCTGGGTGTCAAGAGAGAGTAGAACCTACTTCTGTGAAGTGTAATGTATGTTCAGCATCTGGTATCAAGTAAATGCTATTATTCCTCTCATTATTATTATCCCTCTTGTCATTGTCATCCAACAGTAATGCAGTTTTTCCCAATTGAATCTAAATACTAGATTTCACTCTTAATTTCTTACATTTATGTAGTTCATTTGACCTATCTTGGCGATATGTTGAGATCTTGTGGAATTTTGTTTCTAATTTAACATGTTTAGCTGTTTTATGTGCATGAAGATATGGATCCCGAACAGGCCAAGTTTATGTGACATAATTATATGGCAAACCACTAAAAAACCCTGCTGCTTAATAAATTAATCCACACTATTAGGCCTGTTCATCAAGTCCTGAATCTTCCCAATTTTTTTTTTTGCCATTCAGCCATACTTTTCCATCATTCCCATAAGGATATCACAAGAGCTTTATCAAATACTACTGTAGAGTCAGCATACACAATGTCTAGCACATCCCAATATATATTTCTACCTCTAGTTGATTTTAATTTCTCATCATAACCTGTCCTGATACTCAGCTACATTATGTTTTTTTGGAAGCTTCCACTTAAGTTTTCACATTTCTTATTAAGTTAAATGAAATTCTCAGTTTTGGAAAACAAACATGCAAACAAAGCAAACTGAGTTTAACTTGCCCTGTGTTTATGTTAATAAGAGAACTGTTTCCTCTGATTTCAGTTTAAATATAAACAAGGCTACCGCAAGCAAGTCGGCCACCATATTGGATTCCGGAGTCTGCAAGATGATCCAAAGCTTGTGTTGTCCATGAATGTAGCCAAAATGCAGAGTGAAAGGGAATATAAGAAGGACTTTGAGAAGTGGAAAACCAAGTTCAGCAGCCCAGTGGACATGTTGGGAGTGGTGCTGGCCAAAAAATGCCAGGCCTTGGTCAGTGACGTGGACTACAAGAACTACCTGCACCAGTGGACCTGCCTGCCTGACCAGAATGACGTTATTCAAGCTAAAAAGGTTTATGAACTACAGAGTGAGGTCAGTTTCTACTAAATCTCATAGTTTATGTAGTACTTTATATCTCATATGAGTAGCCATTTAATCATAGACAGACTGAAACTGGATAAATTATTATTGAATATCTAAAATGCATCTGTTTGTAATGCATAGAATCACTTCGGTCAAGGGTCCAGATGAGGTTGGAATTTTGATGGCTTGCTTTGTATTTTCACAGAATTTGTATAAGTCTGACCTTGAGTGGCTGAGAGGCATAGGATGGAGTCCCCTGGGTTCTTTGGAGGTAGAAAAGAACAAACGGGCTTCAGAAATCATCAGTGAGAAGAAATATCGCCAGCCTCCAGACAGAAACAAGTTCACCAGCATTCCTGATGCCATGGACATAGTTCTGGCAAAGACAAATGCCAAAAATAGGAGTGATGTGAGTAACTCTTCATAAATAAATAAAAGAAATTATAGTGCCTGATACCTGGTAGGTGCTCAATAGTATTTGCTTAATAAATTAGTAGAACAGCACAGCATCGCATCACACAACATAATGTTTTTTTATTTGGTTACTTCATTTGAATTATCAGTTACCCTACACTGGATCATGTAAAAATGGGTTAGTATAAATTTTGTCACCCAAATCTTGCTTGCTTATTTATTTATCCAAATCATAAAGAAAAATCTATTGAAAGTATTTTTTTCTTTGAAACTTGAGTGCATTAAAGACCCAGATTTTGTTGGGATAGAGTATATGAGAGGGAGATATTCTGAGTACCTTACACAGGCACAGTGGAAATGTCATAAAGAGTATATAGTTATCTATTTATCTGGTGGTTCCCAACCAGGGACAATTTTGTCCCACAGGGGACATTTGGCAGCACGCAGAGACCTTGTCATAACTTGAGGGTGGCATGCTACTGGCATCTAGTGGATAGAAGTCAGGACAGTTCCCTCACAACAAAGAATCATCCGGTATACAACACCAATAGTGCTGAGGTTGAGAAACTCTGATCTTTCTTAATCAGAAAGGTTAGTCCAGAACCAGGGTAAAGGTATATGGAAATTCACAAGCCTTGGTTTATTGTAGTCCTGAATGTCTTTAATTGGCTCCTCTGGGTTACATGGACCATAGTAAGAATATTCAGGAAGGAGAAAAGTGCCAACCCCTCACACCCCACACTGCACACCTCAAAGGGAAATTGATAAGTCCAAGGAAGCAATGAGACTTTAAAATCTTTTTATATTGAAATAATTTCAGGTATACAGAAAAGTTGAAAATAGTACAAATAATTTATGTACATCTTTATACATATATATATCTTTTCACCCAGATTCCACAATTATTAGCATTTTGTCACTTTCGCCTTTTTCTTTCTTCCCTCCCACCTCTTTCTCTTAGCTCTGTGTGTGTGTGTGTGTGTGTATGTGTATATATGTATGTGTATGTGTATAAGTTGCTTCCTGATGCCACTCTATCCCTAAATGTGTATTTCCTGAAAATAAGAACATTCTCTTAGATAACCACAGTGCAATGATCAAAATCAGGAAAGTAGTGTTGAAATAACACTAGTCTACAGAATTTACTCAATTTTACCACAAGTGTCCGTTATAGAAAGTAAAAAATCTTTTCTGATCCAGGATCCAATCCAAGACCACACGTTGAATTTACTTGTCATGTCTTTAGTCTCCTTTAATCTGAACTGGTTCACTTCTTTGTCTTCCAAGTCCTTGACATTTGTGAAGAGCACAGGCCAGTTGTTTTGTAGAACCTCCCTAAATTTGGTTTTGTCTAGTGTTTCCTCATGATTAGATTCAGGTTTTGTATTTTTGGCAGGATAGCACATGTTGCATCCTCCTCCATATAGGCACATAGTATCAATCTGTCCCATTACTGATCATTTTAACTTTGATTACTTGGGTGAAATGGTGTCGCCAGCTTTCTCCACTGTCTGGTTACTATTTTGTCCTTTGTAATTGATAAGTATCTTGTGGGAAGATTCTCTGACAATGTAAACAAAGTTTTTCATCAGACTTTCACCCCCTATTTTTAATATATCAATGAGATTTTTGTTTGGGTCCCTCTGTCTTCTGTTGAAGAAAGACGGATGATGACCCCAAGACATAAAAGAGGCTTTGATAAATCTCATACAAAATCCTTTGGGGGAATCCTAATCCTCCCAAGTAATTATGAGGTATAACCATATAATAAACCACATAGGAAATGAGACTGCCTAATATATAGACATACCCTGAATATGTCATCTTTTCAGAAGATAAGGGCTGTCCCCCAGTTAAACACCGAGGGAGACTTTTACAATCCAACAGGGGGAGAACTGCTGCTCCATTTGATGATGTTGGCAAAGGCTTTAAATACTTGGGTTGATTTCTTACAGACAGGTTAGTTGTAACTTTGAAAAGGTAATCCATAATCTATATTTTTGAAGGCAGTTATGTCTCAGATGAGTCAAAAAATACTATATCTATTCTCTGCTTATGTTATCTGCTTTTGCTATTGTGATGCTTAATTTAGATGAATCAGTAATACTGTTTGAAGTTAACTATGTCACTCATTAGTCTTATAGCACCACTGAAAAACACTTATTTCTCATTTTAGAGACTTTATAGAGAAGCTTGGGACAAGGACAAGACTCAAATCCACATCATGCCTGATACACCTGGCATTATTCTGGCTAAAGCAAACTTAATCAATACAAGTGATGTAAGTTTCCAAATTCAGCATGTGTTTTCAGAAAGCTCATTTTATTTTTATTTTTAAAAATATTTATTTATTTTTATTTGGTTGCACTGGGTCTTAGTTGCAGCAGGAGGGCTCCTTAGTTGTGGCATGTGAACTCTTAGTTGCGGCATGCATGTGGGATCTAGTTCCCCGACCAGGGATCGAACCTGGGCCCCCTGCATTAGGAGCGTGGAGTCCCAACCACTGCGCCACCAGGGAAGTCCCCAGAAAGCTCATTTTAATTGCGTCTAAGGCAGTGAATTTATTTGGAATTTATTTTGAATACTTGAATCATGTTAATTAACAAACTACAAGTGACTTAGAGTCCTCATTTAGTGGTTTTAAGCCTGAACATCCAAATAATTGGCACTCCCTATGTCAGATAGAGTTGGAAGGATGTGCTCTCTGTTCATTATAGTCCATTATTACGCATGTTGTTATAACATAATGGTTTGTATAGCTCTTCCCTATGTGGATAAGAACTTCTTGGGAGCAGAGACAATTCATATTTGATCTGCAGTGCTTAGCTAGTATAGTGCCTGATATACATGAAATTCAATAAAATTTAAATGAGTGAGCATAAAAACCTCATGCACATACACAAAAAACTCATGCACCAAAAAAAAAAACTCATGCAGGATAATTTCATTTTTATTGTCATCATGGCATAATCTCCTGAAAATAATGGATGTAAAAATTAATATTTTAAAGACAAGTTCTAAATTCTAATACAAACACTTTAGCTTAAATAATGTACTAGAGTAATGACACAAAGGACTAAAATATAAAAACAAGTCCAAGATCAATAGGCACTTTAAACAATCTGGTTTCTAAATGAAGTGCATTAAATTAGATTCTCAATTATTTAATTATGTAACAAATCTGAAGAAGCACATTATTTCACTTAAGCTTTTTAATTCAATATTTAAACTTTCCTCAAAAAATCTTACATTTTAAAATCTTACATTTTAAAAATTATGAAGGACTTTGTTTCTTACCTAAAAATGTGTATCCTACTTTTGGACAGCCCTATATTGTGAAATAGACTTTGTTTCACAATGTGTTAGCTACGTAGTCCGTTAGGTGTGATTTTCCCCCACTAGAGGTGTTAGATGGGAAAAGGCATTGCTCTTGGGCTTCCCTGGTGGTGCAGTGGTTGGGAATCCACCTGCTAATGCCGGGGACATGGTTCAAGCCCTGGTCCAGAAGGATCCCACATGCCAAGGAGCAACTGAGCCCATGCGCCGCAACTACCAAGTCTGCGTTCTAGAGCCCGTGAGCCACAACTACTGAGCCCGCATGCCACAATGACTGAAGCCCGCGTACCTAGAGCCCATGCTCCGCAATAAGAGAAGCCACCACAATGAGAAGCCCACGCACTGCAATGAAGAGTAGCCCCCGCTCACTGCGACTAGAGAAAGCCTGTGTGCAGCAACGAAGACCCAAACGCAGCCAAAAATAAATTAATTAAATAAAATTTTTTTAAAAAGGCATTGCTCTTTTCTAACAAAAACTTCTAATGAAACATTCAAAGTTAATTGGAAAACAGCACCTAAATGATAATTTCATTTCATTTCTCTACCAATTTACTTCTGTCTGTCTCATTCTCATAAACATTTGGGAAGAGATGACATTTAATCTTATTGATCTAAGTAATTGAAGAACTTTCAAGTTTAAAACAGGATCATCAGCAATCAATGAGCATAATTTCCAATTACATTTGAGTATTCTAGAGCACATATTGTACTATCCTCATGAGCTCTTAAAATACTTAGCACGTTGGATTCAGTATGATGCAGATGTTTATGGAAAATAGCTTTTTTCAAAGTGATTTTCATCTCTTAACAGAAACACTACCGAATGGGTTATGAGGAGCTGAAGAAAAAAGGTTACGATCTTCCCGTTGATGCCATACCACTCAAAGCAGCAAAAGCATCCCGAGAAATTGCCAGCGAAGTAAGACTTTCTCCCTTGTTTGTATTGATTGGATTGCAATTTTCACTTCAGAGCAGTCTCAATTTAAGATTAAATTGAACACAGTCCTCCAAGTAACAAATTAAAACACAGTGAAATGATCCCAGGGACGCAGTGTGAGATGAGGATAAATTCAAGGATGCATTTATTATGTATGGAATTTGTAGGATTTAGCCTTTAATCTTTACTCTCAAAAAAACCTTAAATCTGTGGCTCTCTACCCTTGGTGAT